AAAAGGGCCCAGCGCGCTGCGAGAATGTAGGGGTTAGCAGAAATTTGACCTTGTAGTGCAGCAAGCAGAATTTGGCCCTGTAGTAAAGCAAATAAAAATTTGGCACAAGAAAAGCACTGCTATGCTAATGGATTTTGGGCATAAAGTGCAGTGGCCCATTGTAGGTAAAAGGCACTTACCTAGCAATGTATTGCATTCCAGTTTTTTGGCAGTTGGGATACCTAACAGCCAATTCAATACTGGAGGACTTCCCGTCGGAATCTGCGGGTCCCCCAGAACCGATCTAGAGCCTCAAAAACCAAATTCCCCTGCGAGAATCTAGAGTTTTCGAGTCTAGATCGACTTCTGTGAGGGCTCCAGTTTGCACGGGAAGTCCTCCACTTGGTAGGCTGATATCAGCATAGCTGAAAAACTGTTCCACTGGTATCAGGCTGCTGGTATAGAATCAAGTCTGTTGGAAGAGGCTCTGGCCAACAAGTTTGGTTCTTTTACTTCTGTACCAATACCAGCTTGGGGCTAGACAACAAATAACTTTTCAGTGGATGGAGTGTACACTTTATAAAATCACCAATAATGACTGATTATTGGATGGAGGGTCTTACAGAAATTTTCAGAGTGGTGTGCACACTTCCTCCAGAACCCAGCCCCCTCTGCAGGTTGGTTTGGTGTGCTCAATGCTTATATGTGTACAAGACTCAAGTGGTATGCAGAGTGTAGAGGCCAGCAAAAATGTAATTGATGAAAAAGGATTGCAGGTATGTGCACACTGTTTTTCTAAGAATTTGCAGCTAAGCAATCCTCATTGTTGCCAGTAAGTTTTGTAGTGGAAAGCTCTGTACTGCTTTTTGGCAGTAAATTTAGCTCAAATAGGCAGTGTATACAGGCAGATTCAAGAGTAAATTTGGCCAGTAAATGACACATTTGGGGTCAATCATTGTAAGATATTGTAATACTAATGGCCAACAATTTAAAACGGATGAATGAAATAATGGAGCACTTGACCTCAATTTCATATTCATAATTATTTGGCTTTTCAGATCTTGTTTTTAAGATAATTTTTTGCTTGCAAGAACTCAAATAAGTTTCTACTACCAAGTAAATTATTGAGTTTAGATTTTGAAGCTCCAAACTTCCGTTCAAAAGATTCAGTTTTTGTGATTTGTAAAATCCACACTCCCACTAACAGATCAGGAATTCACTTCAGTTCAAGGATAATGTACAGTTACCATGTGCTCCAAAATTGAAAAATACATACCCATGCTTGCTGCACCCTGGGACATCTATATGATCTCTTGCTTTACAATCTGGGCAATAAGCTTCCATTCTTTGATAGTATTTATCTCTGCAATTTGCATTGGGGCAGGTTTCTTGTTGAAGGTTTTTCACCTCTGCTCTTCCTGTTTCACAATGATCTTTATGAAAAAAATCAAAACGTAAATCATGGTGGGCTACCCTCCCAGATCCAAGCAGCAATCTGGGAAGACAAAAAATCAAAATCTTCCAAATCTGCATTATGTATGTTCAAATGTTTGTGAATTGACTGAACATGGAAACTCAAAATATTAGCACCAAATCAAATAATCTATCTTTGATTTTATTTCTAATATGTTTGGTGGGTTATATTGCATACCTGTTTATGGGGAAATTATAGAATAGGAGAATGGATTCTCTGTGAAGCTGTATTTAATTATCTGGTCCAATTAGATAATTCTTCCGGTTATTTTATGTGGAAAATGATCCCATTTATTTTCTTTCTTGGGAGGAAAGATGAGGAACAATCTTACAAGTCAAGGCATTATAAATATGCTGGAAAAATTTACCTATGTGACTAGGTTTCACAGGATTTGTCCACAATTTTCTATCAGTGTGCTGCATCAAGGATTCACTGACATTGTTACAAATGATGTATTTTGTACACATTTCCAGAAATCATTAATAAGCTTAAATGGCTGTCAATTTTCATTGGAAACAGTTGAATGGAACACAATACCTATTGGAAGACTAATCATAGTGTATTTAACTTCCATGCTGTAGAATAACGTTTGACACTTTGATTTTGAATTCAGCTCTAATCCAATTCCAAAACAAGAGGACTTCCTGTCAAAATCTGTGTGTCCCCCAGTTTCAATGTAGAGCCTCAAAGGTAGATTTATGTGCAAAATTCTAGACTTTTTGGGTCTAAATCAAAAACTTCAAGGGGCCCAGATTGAATGAGAAGCTGTCCACTGCTCTTGTTAATTTATGGAACACTTTGTTGATATCTAAATTCTAGCTCTTTAGAGAGAATGAATTGAGTTAAATTTAAACTTTTCACAGTTGTTTTATATTTTGTTTGTAATCCCTGTTTTAGAACTGAAGTGTAGAAAAACTCTACTATGGGTGGAAAGCTGGTTTTACAGTGGCGCGCGGCATTGTACTGTACAAGGTTTTGCAATTTCCAAAAGGTTGGGGCCCAAAACTTGGATTTTTTTGTGATTTTTGCCTGTTTTTGGGGGGTTGAGATGTAAATCCGGTGTCACAGCTGCTGTAATTGACCTGTGAAACACACTTTAAGCTCATGTTTATGGGTTTTGGCTGACATTTGGCCATGTGAGTATGGGATTAGGATACCTCCCTAACCCATAAGTATGTACTAAGACCCCCATACACGACCTATGTCCAAATGGTCAAGTGAAAAAAAAGTTTTTTTTTTTGGCTGGACCAAATTGTTTGCAACTTTAGATTTTGAATCTACACACCCTGTAGACTCCAAAAACACACTTATTACAAGTGCTGGACCCCCATCGGGGTCGGGGTTTAACCCCGCGCGACCAGAACAAGTTTTGCGGGCAGCCTTGTACAGTGCAATGCCGCGCGCCACTGTATAAACATGAGTCTGGCTCATGATGGTTTTGAGCTGTTTCCAGTCGGTACAAGCCAAATGGTACACATGAACTATGTTAAACCTATCAAAACATTCTATGTTTGAATATGAGGTGTGTAACTTCTGTTATGAATCTAGTTCTAACCCAATAGTCTTGTTTAATTCTGAAAATCTTCAGTGGTATCTGGATTTAGAATTGAGTTGAATTTAAATGTTCCAAGCTCATTATATAGTTTGTATTTAATCCCTGATATTATAGAGGAACCTTAAGCTGAGATAAAATAAAATGTGGGTGTCCACTTGAGTTACCAAACCACATTTAATATCCAAACACTCCAAAAATTTGTCTGTCTCATGGTTTTGAGCTTGTTCCAGTTGGTTCAAGCTGCATGATACACATGGCCTATAGGAAACCTAGATGGAATTTATACAGTCTATGTTAGACATACATAAGGGGCCACACTATCCAGATACCTTTCCCAAAAATTACAGATTCTGGACACCCACACCCAAACCCACACCTGCCTGGGAAGTAGCAGGCAAAAAACTGCTAGTACCTGTGCAGGTACTAGCAGTTTTCACCACTTCTTCACTACAAATGCAGGTCAGAAAATTTATCCTAGAATTGTATGAATGAATCCCTGTTTGGACATTGTTGAATTTTATAAAATTTGCAGCTCTGTTCTAGATTGCTCAAAGTATATACATGTCTACCTAAATATATGTATGTCTATCTAAATATATGTATGTCTATCTAAATGTATATGAAGAAATCCTTCACTGATCTTTTTAATCCATCAAGTATAACTCTGTATTCCAAACAAATCATGAACCAAAAAAATAAGAAAGCAAAACATTCATCACTAAAAGAGAAAGTCAAACAATTGGGGGAAGTTAAAATGCAAGGGCTGACACCATACTCTACCCTTAGTTTGGGTTAAGCACAGACTTTCATTGAACAATGTTATGCTTCACCCCCCTGAAGCCACAGGGTAGTACCACTAGATTATGTAAGCATAGTGACCTCAATTTCCATTCATGTTTGATTGAATCTTAATGCATGTCAACTGAACCATGAAAGTTGGAATGTAGCTTGCTAAAAAGTGACATGTATGATCAACAATGAAACCAATCTGATCCCTGGATCAGATCAAAAATGGACCCAATACCGGGTATTGGGATTGGATCAATCTCCAATTTAATCCCAATTTATTGGACAACTGGGATTGGGTGGAGCAATCTGATCCCAATACCCGGTATCAGGTCCATTTTTGATCCAATCCAGGGATCATATTGGTTACACTTTGGATGATACCAAAGTGTGAGGCATGCGGCCCGCAGCTTTTGGGTGTTGGATAGGGATTTCAATGCAATCCCAATCTCAATCCAATAACATGTGATTCAGGATGCAAGTGGGTCGGGTCAACCCTCCGGGTCACAGGGCGGGTTTGGGCGGGCTAGGATTGGAAATTGACCCGGCCCGGATTTAACCTGACGGGTCAGTGGGGCGGGTATGGTCAGGACGGAATGCATTCGGGTCGGCTTGAGATTTACCAAATTATGTACTTGATTAAAAAGAAAGTGATTTTTGCTGGGTTGACCCGGACCCTACCCAA